TCTCTTTTCCCAAGTTCTCAAGTTCCTTATCAGAAAGGCCGTAAAAGCTTACCTTAATGGGTTTCTATAGGATAGTTCTTTACAGCTATGAATAGGCACTGGGCAGACACATGTGGACCACATACTGGTATACAGGTACTTTTGAACCACTACCAGAACTACTTTTTGGTTGACCCTGGCATCTGGATATCCCCAAGAGATGCTCATTGGCATCTGTTTGGACAACTTTGTAGACATGGTGGGAAGAACGCCTGAGCCTCTGCAACAGGGCCTGTGCCAGGGAAAGCCAGCATTTTAATGACACCATCACCATATGCTGGTTCTGACTCTACTACAGAGAATGATGATGTAATGGTCACTTCATCCTAAATCGGTACAGGACTGTGCCAAGCCTTTGCTTTCTGAAACCTTCTGTCTTGAAAGACATTTTTGTCTTGTGATGTGCTGCAAAACTTTTGGAAAAAGGGAAAAAGTTGTGGCTTTTTATTAAGTTTTGGTTTTTTTCCCCCTCCATTAAGAACTCTCAAAAAAAAAAAAAAATCCTCAAAGTTCTGTAACACTTGCTCGCCCCAAAGACTACAGGTGTTTCTCCCAGAAGACCAGATCTAAGCCAGAGCTGCCTAGGAGTGATCTCTGGTTTCTCTAGTGGGTCTCTCCCTCTGCTTTGGGGACTCCTTCAGTTAGACTAGCCCTGGAGGTGGCCAAGGGAAAAGAGCTAATGATGATTACTTGTAAAGGGTAACTGACTGCTCTGTTGCCATTTTGATGCTACAATGACAGATCAGCATGGCTGCTAAACACACTTGAGAACAAGACAGTTTTTCAACACCAGCACAAGGTGTATGACAGGATGCCCAGCTGACTTGAAAGGGATGTGGGGCAGAGTTGTGAAGGCAACTGATTATTGGCAGGTTTGCTGGAGATGATGGCTAACTCTCTAAGAAGAATTCCTGGGACATTCCTTTTTAAAGTCAAGTAACTAATTCCTTTTAAAGTCAGGTAGCCAAGAGGCTGTTCGGTTTCTTCAGTGTTGGCTACCGCTCCGGGTACCACGGTTGTTCATAAGACATTCAATACTAGGGCAAACAAACAGTAGGGTCATGGGGGTCACTGCTGTACCCAGGAGTCCCAAGTCTATAAAGGTAAGAGGCTTTGGAGCAGAAGCCAGCGGATGGAAAGTATTAACAGACAATCATGAGTAAGTGGTGATCAGCTTGTCTTTAGCATCTTTAGTCCATCTCTCTACCCCTCCATCGGCATGCACTCTAGAGCCTCAGTAGTTAGGACAGAGCTCAGAGTAACTAGGCCTGCAGTTTTTAAGGGACAGGAACTTCCAGACACGGAACACCCCTCTCTGGAGTCCTGGGCAGATACTTGAAATGACCTGGCCACTACCATGGGTTTGTTTGCTTAGTTTCCCTTTTCCTCTTTGTCCAAAGTCATCTCAGCAAGAGGAGGTGAACTGAGACTGTGTGAAAATAGACCATTTGGTCTGACATAAGAAAGCACATACTGACTGCAGAAATACTAAAATACTGAATTAAAAGTTGATGCTAATTCTAGGATGCCAAGGAGTTCTGATGTGGCACTGTAGGTTAATGAGCCAGACTGCAAAGCCATTTGAACTGCAAGGTTGGCGGTTCAAGTTCACCAGCTGCTCCTCGGAAACCCTATACAGAGTCGCTATGGGTCGGAATTGACTCGATGGTACTTGACAACAATAACAAGGAAGGACGTGTTCTTCAGGATCCAGTTCTCTGTATGATGTGTGTGTGTGTGTGTTCATGTATTTAAAAACAAACAAGCAAACAAAACCAGGAGAGATTATAAGTCTTGAGCAAGTCAGGAATTTACTTGCCTGGGAGCAGGGGTTTGAAACTGGTTCTCTTCTCCAGTAGGACATTCTTTAGCTATTGAATTCGGCTAATACCTGAGGGAAAATTGAGGGGAAAATTCCTAAAGTCCTACAAAGATTCAGGCCATGCCCAGGAACTTACAACGGAGGACTCGAGGTTCTTGGGAAATGGGCGTCCACTCTGACACCCAGCTCACTACCCTAGTCTTCCCTGAAGTTCCCTCTTCAAGCAGAGGGTGTTAGGGTTGGGGCTCAGATGATTGAGAGAGTAAAGTCTATTTTTGGTCTTCAAGTTTCTTCCTGCTTGTTGGCTCATCTTCAGAACAGTTTCTCCAGTTCTGCATCTAACAGAGAGGAGAGGAGCCAGGCTGGAGAAAGGGAAACAGACCAGCCATCTGTCACAGGCCGAGCATGACAGGGGCACTGGGAAGGGGCCTACTAAAGAATTTCTGCTGACAGCAGTTTTAGTTCCCTCTGGTTTCAAACCAGGGCCAGCTGAAGAGTGAGGGACATGGTTCCAACTGGTCAAGCTGGGACCAAGTGTTTACAAATAGGCTTCAATGAGGAAATCCCAAGACCTTGCCCTTCTGGTCCTCAACATTAGGCCCAGTTAAGGTTTTGGTGGGCAGGTGACAATTTAGAATGTCAAATGTATTGAAGGCATAACCTTGGGCTCTATTGGAAAGCACAGTGGCAAATGAATGGGCTTGTCCCTTGGGTCCTGTTTCTCAAGCAGCCCAAAGTCCATGGGAACAGGTCTAGTCTATTAGTATATTTCCATTCTTCTTGGGTTTTCAGTGGTAGTTTTCTGGAGTCCCATCAAATTCTTAAGGAGTTCTAATAGCATAGTGGTTATGAGTCGGGTTGCTAACCTCAAGGTCAGAAGTTTGAAACTACCGGCTGCTCCATGGGAGAAAAATGTGGCTTTCTGCTTCCGTAAAGATCTACAGCCTCAGAAACCTTATGTAGGGTTGCTATGAGTCAGAACTGACTCTATGGCACACCACCACGATCACCACAGCAAGTTCCTGTCCCTTCTTAATTCTTGTTCCCTGATCCAATAGCGTCTACCTGGCTCTTGGATGAGTTTCAGTATAACAGGTTGAGCTAATAAACTCAACAGTGAAAGACAACGATGAACTCCTATTAACTTAAAAACCATCTACAGAATTATAACATCAGAATCTTCATCCCTCCTTGGAATTTTTCTTATTTTGGGGTTATTAAGGACTCTGAAGATGAAAGAAAAGGACATAAAAATGTTTAGGGAGAACAGTAGCAAATCAACAACCAAAGATCCTAAAGAAGCCGATTTTTCTTAGTTCTTCAACGTTCACAAATTTTGCAACCTACGTTGGCCTCATTAGAAAACCTTTAGACAATGCGAAGACAAGATAATAAGGAGCACACGATTGTCCCACCTTCAGTCCTGATATCTTGGGGTACCAAGAAGTGCACCTGAGAAGAAAAACAAAGAAAACCTAATTCCTGGCCCCACCTATTTAAATCCTGAGCTTTACCTAACTACCAAGAGGGAGTTCTTTGGAAAATCTATTGCCGCAAAACATTCTTTCCACTTCATTCCAAATCCAAAGCCCGAAAATGCTCAGAAAAATTTCTTACACAGAAGTCTGGACAATATCAATTTGTCATGCCTACAACAAGAGCCCACAGAGAACATACAGGGACATCTCCTTCCTCAAGGCTGGAGTGGGGAGGGCCTCGATTGTGTTCAACGTTGCCTCCTCGCTCCCTCTTATACACACTTACTTGTTCAGCAATCAAAGCTTTAATGTATGGAGCAACTAGCTTAAAGAATATCAAATATAAAACTTTGCCATATAGTATTTAAATCACTCTATTTACAAATTTATCTGTTCAAAAAATGTAAAAGATACAGTAATTCAACACAATTCAAGTTTTTCTGTTCTTCTTTAAAATTAAGTTCCCTAAATAGAAATTCCAGAAGGAAGGAAATGCTCTCTGGAACAATGCCGTCATCCCAAGGGGCTCCAGGGAGCTTTATAGTCTATCAGTTTTCAGCTGGTCTTTCCAGAGTGACTCTTGCCAGGAGATTCGAATGTGGAAGATACTGGGGGTTCTGTTCTCTGGAGGCTGAGTGAATCTGGACTGTCCAGGTCTTACTTTCCTACCCATGGCAGTTTTCTCCAAATCCCACAACACTCAGCCCTTTCTTGACCAACAAATACCGTTTCCTCAGAAGGTCCCCATTCCAGCTTCCATCCTCTAACCTTCTGGTGTCTTTCTGAATCACAATGGGCTATGATATTAGTTTCATGCCTATATGGCCTGAGACACAATTCTTTTTCTGAGTGGCAGAGTCCACAAGGTGAGCCTGGGAACCATCCCTGAAAACCACCAGTGCACAGCAGCCCAGAGGACTGGAAGGGAGCTGATGACTGATAGGCTAGAGGCCTGCCTGGGCAGGCCAGGGCAAAGTGAAGGGCAGGGCACAAGGGCAGCAATTGGACAAAGAGAAGGTATCACACCCATTGGGAAGCAGCATATTGCCTTCTAGAAAGCAAATGACAGTTACATGGAGGACACAAATATCAAGCCAGTGTGTAATTTAATCTCAAGAAGTTACTAGAGTGTGCTTCCAATATTCCCTGATACTGCTGAACTTCATCTAAAAGGGGACAGACAGTTCCCAGCTGTGCTTCTGTCTGCCTTAGGAAAGTCACTCCAATTTCTTGGTTTTTTGCTTCAGGTGTTTGCAAAACCATTTTGAAAACTATCAAAAAGGGGGAAGGAAAGGAAATAATCAAACAAAACAAAACAAAAAATGTGCCATGCAAAGAGTGTGCTATTTTTTGTTTTGGTTTTTGAGTAGGTTGCGTTGCCACGGCAACTAGGCGATGGCAGCCCTATCAGTGGCAAAGAAGTTCTTTGCGTGTGTGTGTGTGTGTGTGTGTGTAGGGGGTCAGGGTGTAGGAGGGAGAGGTGGACATGACCGTGGGGTGTATGTGTTCCTTTGCATGAGAGGGCTGAACTGAATTCTGCTGATGATGGGCCAAATGCTGCTTCAGTGATCTTATGTAAACAGAGCTGTAACCCCTTTCCATCCTGCATGCAAACAAACAGATCCAGCTGCCTGTAGCAGTGTGGGTCTCAAGTATTTAGAGGTGGAGTAGAGTGTGTACTGTAAACAAATGCCATGACCCAGCCTGCGTCTCAGCGCCAATTTCTTCGCCCACCCCTGTTGGACTCAGCTACGTATGCTGTGTGGTCTTGGGGACTACTTTTATCTTATTTCCTCTTTCAAAAGATTGGGGTTTGGATGACTGTTGAAACAAATGAGTGCTCCCTCATAAGAGCGCTCTTGAGAAAATGCCTTTGCAAGACTTTATCTGGATTATCAAAGTCAAACGGCCTCCTCTTCCGATTTACATCTGTTTCTTGCAGTATTGCTGCACGTCAGCTGAGATGATCATGGGAATGGATTACACCAGAGTTCACAGAAATGTTCACGTTGACAGGTATCAACAGAGTCTGTCACCCTGCATTTCTCAGTGGCAAAGAGAAATGGTCTACAACACTGGAATCAGCAGTTGTCATGGATACCATGATAAAGCTCAGCAGTTCTGCTGGAGCCCATGGTTAGAGGAACTCCACGTAGTTCTCGGGGATGAGGCCAGTCTTTCCATTCAGAGTCCCCTCCAACCAGCCAGGCTCCTGAGATGGATGAACTGTACAACAAGGGGAGAGAGAAGGAGAGAGATGACATTACACTTTGTGTGTGTGTGTGTGTGTGTGTGTGTGAAGGAAGTTTGGAGAAATCATCACTCATTCAGTTATATAATTCTAGACTTTTTTTAAACCAGAAGTTCTTAACTTTTTTTTTAGGAGATGAGCTTTCTGATAAAGTTGATTCTGAACTTTCTCCACAAGAAAAAAAGAAATAGACACTCACAATGTTATATAACATTTTAGGGATTTCATAGATGCTGAAGTTCCATGTTTAAACTATAAAGCAGTAAAATAGTTCTACCTTTTAGAGTTAGATGTCCAACAACTGTTATGGTCTATGTATCCATCCATCCGTGTCCCCATCTAGTCAACCAAGAGGTACTTACTGAGTACTGACTATGTACTTAGTGGAATGTCTATGGAAGATTGCTAAGAGCTAGTTGTTAAAGCTATCTACTAGCTCCTAATCATCAGAAGATGAAAAATACCAACAGATTGGAGGAATTACTCATTAATAACTTGCAATATGTAGATGATACATCTTTGCTTGCTAAAATCAAAGAAAATTTAAAATACTTACTAATGAAGATTAAAGCCCACAGACTTCAGTATGGATTATACCTCAATATAAAGAAAACAAAAATCCTCACCACTGGACCAATAAACAACTTCATTACAAATGGAGAAATTCTTACAGTTGTCAAAGACTTCATTTTGCATGGGTACACAAACAACACTCATGAAGCAGTAGTCAAGATATCCTTAAAGTGTTAAACAGCAGAGGTGTCAGTTTGAGGTCTAAGATAAGCCGGACCCAAGTCATGGTATTTTCAAACACCTCATATGCATGTGAAAGTTGGACAACGAATAAGGAAGACCATAGTAAAAGTGATGCATTTGAGTTATAATGTAGGAGAAGAACATTAAAAGTACCATGGACTTCCAGAAGAACAAACACATCTATATTGGAAGAAGTACAGACAGAGTGCTACTTGGAAGCCAGGATGGTAAGACTTTGTGTCTCATAATTTGGACATGTTAGCAAGAGGGACCAGCTCCTGGAAAAGGGTGTCACGCTTGGTAGGGTGGAGAGAAACTGAAAGGAGGAAGAGCCTTAAAGAGATGGATTGGCACAGTGGCAATAGCAATGGGCTTAAGTGTAACAACGATTGTGTGAATGTTGCAGGACTGGGCAGGGTTTCCTTCTGTTCTGCACAGGGTCAGAATCAGCTCAATGACACCTAACAACAGCAGCAGATTCTACTCATGCATTTTACTCTCTGCTTCTATTTTCCTGGTAAATTCCTTATGCTTTTTACACATTACAGACTTTAACTAGCTCTCTCTGTTCCACATATTCCCTTTTTGAAAGTTTTTCTTTCCCATTCTCTCGAACATTTTCCCTGCTGAATGCAGTTCCCTTTCTCCCTCTATTACAACTTTCAAAAGTTCTACACCTTTGATTTTTTTCAATATCCAAAGAATATATATCTGTGACATCACAATCCATGTCCAAGGAAAACACTGTGATAATATAAGGATTATAAAAAAATTCAGCCGAGTCTGCAAAATCAATAGCAGGAAGGAAGAGAAGGGTTTGTGGGATTCAATGGGAGCTGTTTATTCTTCATGCATTAGGAAAACTTCACTTTTCCAAGATTGTTTGGAGAGAATGAATTTCCCCCTTCCTGGGCTAATTAAGTGACTTCCTGAGCTTGTTTTAGAAAAGCATTTCCGTCCCAACACTACTATGTAATTCTAGTTTTGATTTGTAGGGAAAGAAGAATAGAAAGCAAAGAAAGCAAACAGGCATGCAGCAAATGGACAAGTATTGAGGCTTCCCAAAGCCCCCAAACCAAACCCTTGGCTTTCGAGTCGATCCTGACTCCTTGTAACCCTATAGGCTAGAGTAGAGCTGCTCCACAGGGCTCCTAAGGCTGTACATCTTTATGGAAGAATCCGGCCACATCCTTCTCCCTTGGTGAGGTTGGTGGATTTGAACTGCCCACCTTTTGGTTAGCTACTGAGCTGCTTAACCACTATGCCAGCAGGGATCCTTTCAGATGCCTCATGACCCTGTATGACAGAGTGCAACTGCCCCAGAGGGTTACCAAGAAGGGTGTCGTGGTGATGTCACAGTGAAAGCACTCAGTTGCTAACTGAAATGTTGGTGGTTCAAACCCACCAGCTGCTCCAAGACAGAAAGACGTAACAGTCTGCATCCATAAAGATTTACAGGCTTAGAAACCCTAAGGGCAGTTCGATTCTGTCCCACAGGGTTGTTGCAAGGTAGAATCGACTGGACAGCAATGGATTTTTTTTTTTTTTTTAAACTTTATAGAAGCAGTTTGACACACCTTTCTCCTGTGGAGCTGCTGGCAGGCTCAAACCAAACTTCTGGTTAGCAGATCAGCCAGCTGTTGAAATACTGCTTCACCAGGCTCCATAGAAGATCAATGTCTAACTTGCCTAGACCTTGACTGTTCATTTAGGAAAAGACAAAGTTTGCTTCCAAAATGCTGTCATAATTTTCCTATCCCTAGACTTCAGAAATGAATGAAGAGCAGCCATGATACTTTGGATTCATCACAACCCACTCCAGGAAGACTCTGAGGGCAACGTGCTATGGAAGGCAATAATGTAATTTTAAAACAACCTGACCTCCCCAATTACCAAGGCTCTCCAACCCAACCAGCTCCCCAGTAAAATTCTAGCACTAAAATCATCTTGCCTCTGCCCACCCATTCATGCTGAAGCCCCCAGGATCCCTCAGTGCCTGTGCCTCTACAGTACCAACACTGCTTATTCTCTCCCCTCAGCAGGGCATTAGAAGGCTCATGTGGACAAAGCACTCAGCAGAGTTAGGCACATGGTCCACAGGGGGCTTCATGCCACCTGACAAGTCAAAACCAAAGAAAAGAACTAGAAAGAATAAACCAAGCACAGCCAACCAAACCCAAAAGCACACCTCTCCCACTTTACAACACAGCTCCGGGTTGAGTTGTTGTTGGCTGGGTTGGTGGGTAGGTGCTGTTGAGTTGGCTCTAACTCATAGAGACCCCAAGCACAATAGAAGGAAATACTACCTGGTTCTGGACCACCCTTACAATTGTTATAATGTTTGAGCCCATTGCTGTAGCAACTGTGTCAATCGGTCTCATTGGGGGGTGGGGGTCTTCATTTTTATTGCTGACCCTCAACTTTACCAAGCATGATGTCCTTTCTCCATGGACTAGTCCCTCCCGATAGCATGTCCAAAGTATGTGAGACAAAGTAGCTGTCCTCACGTCTAAGCTGTACTTCTTCCAAGACAGATACGTTCATTCTTCTAGCAGCCCACAGTATATTCAATATTCCTTATCAAAACCATAATTCAAAGACATCAACTCTTCTTTGGTCTTCCTTACTGACTGTCCAGCTTTTGCATACATACGAAGTGACTGAAAATACCATGTGAGTTGTTATGCTGAGCCTTTCTCTTTCAGATACATCTCCCTCTCTGGCCAACTGTTCAAACACAGCTAAGGCGCTGAAGTGGGACTGTTGACAGATATTACAAATGGAATTTGCAAACTAAGGTAGGTTCAGAGGAGACAAAGGAGGGGCTTGAAATCAGAGGTCAAGTGGTAAGTCACAGAAGACTGTGGGGACAATGCAGACTGCTGAGTCACTGGAATACTCAAGGTGTGGTACCAGACCAGGTACATCACAGTCACATGGATGTCAATGAAACTCCATTAAAGCAGAACTTCTGGGATGGGGGCCCAAGAATCTGTATTCAAATTAGTTCAAAGGAAGTTTGGATCTATGGCTTTTCCATGCCAAAATTTCTCTGCAATGAGGGTGGTAATAAAAAATCAAAACGCAAATCCTCATCAGCTGCTGGGGCAGAAAAACAGCCCTGATGCTCCCCTTGAATCTGCCGTCTTCCATTGCCTTGCTTCACACTTTAAGGCTCAGCTGAAGCTCCCTCCTTCATAAATAGCATCAAAGACTACCAATTGCCTTCTCCAGGCTCCTACAATGCTCATGGCCCACTCCACATATTATCCATGAGCGCCACTGTTCTTGTTGTTAGCTGCCATGAAGTCAGTTCCAACTCATGGTGACCCTGTGTATAGCAGAACACACCACTGCCAGGGCCTGTGTCTTCCTCACAATCATTGCTATGTCTGATCCTGTTGTTGCAGTCACTGTCAAACTATCCCATTGAAGGTCTTCCTCTTTTACGCCAATCCTCTAATTTACCAACTGTGAGATCCTTCTCCAGGGACTCGTCCCTCCTGGTAACATGTCCAAAGTGTGGGAAACAAAATACATCATCTTCATTTCTCAGGAGCATTTTGGATGTACTTCAAGAAAGATTAGTTTGATCTTCTGGCAGTCTATGGGCACTATTAATGGTACCCAAATGTGTCAAGTTTTGCTTTTCTACCTGGTTTTTTTTTGCACATTTTAGTTTGTATTCTAGGACTGCCTGGCTCAACGACCTCCACTGCTCTAATGTTGGGCAGTAATACATAGAACCTACTGACTTTGAAGCTGCCATGTGCTCAGTTTTAGACGGACCGATGCATTTGATCCTAACAAGTAACCAGTTGCTATTCTTATTCTTTGCACCCCCAGTTTGTACTATTATTATCCCTATTTTTCAGAGGAGATTATGAAAACTCAGGCAAATTAATGTGTTCTGGGTCACAATGATGTACACAGAGTTTGAACCCAGCTTGTTTGACTCCAGACACCAAGCCCTTCTTCATGATGTTTTTCTTCAATCAGAGGATGAGATCAGTGAGAATAATCAAGATCCAGTACGAACACTGATATAGACCATACCTACTGAACACATATTAAGTGACAGGCCTTTTGCTAAGTGCTTTGCATACATTCCCCAAGTTAGTCCTCATAACGATGGACTTGTTGGTATTACTCTTATCCTTTTATTATTTTGAACATTTTATTGTGCTCTAGGTGAAAGTTTACATGGCAAATTAGTTTT